TTGGCAAGAAGACAAAGAAGCAAGTGGCCCCATGGGGAAAGGGGGTGAGAAAGGAGGGGAGTCGGGGGAGCCGGAGGCGCAGATCCGCTTCTACACCTGGGAGGAGATCCAGGAGCACAACCTGAGGACGGACAAGTGGCTGGTGATAGAGCGAAAGGTTTATAATGTCACCAAGTGGGCAAACAGACACCCGGGGGGTCAACGAGTGATCAGCCACTGCGCCGGCGAAGATGCCACGGTAAGGACCCACGCACAGACACACACGCGGCCCCCCCCCCCCCCCAGCTCTCATCAGCAACCTCTGACAGGTCATTGCCTTCCCGGTGGTTACTGAGAAGTGAGCCGGCTTCTGGGCAGCCGGCTGTCTGCCCCTCTCTCCCCACCTCTCTTACACCTGCTGTACACCCGGCTCAGCTCTTTTCGCCGCTTTTAGGAGCGAAAAGGTTGGTCCAAATTGATGCAGCTCCTTGCAAACAACTCCGTTGAGCTACGGCAATTCGCAGCATCTGGAAGATTGGTTGGTAGAGATTGCTGGGCTCTGCTTAAGTCCCGCTGTTTGGTCTTTGTCTCTTGTTTGTGCTGCGCCTGGAGCTCTGAATTCGTGAGCAAAGTGTCCCAAGTCTCCCCCTCTGCAGTGTGTAGCTTATGACAGGCAGAGTCACAGCAGCCAAGCACAAGAAAGGGTTAACGAGAAGCCAGTCTGTGCTTCAAAGTTGCTTCTGTGAGGAGGGTGAGCTCGAGGCTTTAAAACAAGGAGCTTTTTAGGTTTTTTTTCCCCAGGAGAGAATTCTCTAGAGAATTTAGTTACAGGTTTCTACAGAAAAGGAGGAAAAAAAAAAAAAAGAAAACTATTTGCTGCTGCTACAGCTGCCCCTGCACTTCATAGCTGGTTTCAGCTACCTCTCATGTTTCAGCGACTTAAAAACCCAACCAACCAACCAAAAAACCTTGAAAAAGGAGCAAATTGCCTCAGAGATTGTTGTCTGCAGTTTCCCTCAAAGCCACCTTCTTCAGAAGTGCATCCAGAGAGCCTGTTCTCTCCCCAGGGCATTAGCCCATAGTTAATAAAACTTAAACCGCCTCAGAGCTTTCCTGAATATGTGCATGGTAAGCGGCAGGAGAGACCAAGCTGTAACATTAACTGTTCGTCTCCCACGGCTCTTAACACCTTAGCAAGGAGGGAAGCTCTGTGTGTGGCAGAATTAATTGGCAAGAATTACTAACACTTTCCTTTCCATCAGCCTCCATTTGCCTGTGGTCCGTGGTTATTTTCCATTCTTTTCCTTGAAGCACTGAGATGCGCTTTGGTGTTCCTGTCCCCTTCCAATAAATCCTCTGAATGAACAGCTTTCTCCCTCAAAAACATGGGCCAGGTTTTACTTTCAGCTGCTTAAACGAAGGCCTGCTGAAACCACCGGAGGAGTTTGACTCCTACCCCCAAGAATTTAACTCCAATATCTCCACTAGAAACCAAAAAGCATCTGCTACTGCATTTGTCTCGAACCCTTTCAAGGGAGACTGAAGCACAGGTTTGTGATTCTACTACTGCTGGTCCTCCTCCCACCTCCCCACCCACCTCCCCAGGGTACGTTGCATCCCGTCCCGCTCTACGCAGAGCACTCTCCATGCAGGCATGGTCTTAAGAATGCTCTGAAATTGTTCATCGCCACTCTGAGCACTAAAACCAGAATTGTCATCTGGTTTCCAGCTTCCCTGTGGTGAATAACACTCTACCGCTGAAAAATCTCTCTCTCATTCAGGGTGAGAAAGCCTTGGCCTTGACCCTGTCAAGGCTTAACTTAACAAGTTGAATTCTGTGTTGCAAGATACCACAACTGGAAGAGTTTAGGAGGAGGAAAAGGCAATGATAAAAATTCAGTTTAACATGTTTACATTCCTAGTTCTTACATGGCTTTTGTCTTTCTCAGATTCTCCGTAGCACCACATGTAGTTAGGACCTCCAGCCCAGCAAACATGCACCAAAGGAACCTCAGCATCTCGTCCATTTATCTTGGACGAATCCTCTAGAGGATCATGTGTATCCGTCTACCATGAGCTGCCCACTGACAGACTCACTGAACTCCACATCTATGCCAGGCCCCCTGCTTGGTGATGTGTGAGCTAATTCATCTCGGGGTGCTCACAAGACAGCTAACAGAAGCTTCTATGACAGTTATGTTCAGCATGCTCAGCTCATGCCAGTCAGGTTAGGAGTGCCCAGGCTAGCTTACGCACGAATTTCCCCTACACTGAGCATTCATTCGTTTTAGGCCATACTTTCAACATGCTGAGACAGCATACTCGTCTGGGACAACCTGTTCTGGTATCACATCATGCACGGTTGCCTTCAGAAAATGAAGGCAAGAGCATGCAAAGGCACCTCGCAGTTTCTCTGTTTCAGAGACGTTCAAGGATGTGAAAGAACATCCTTGTACTGACTGCACTAAGGACTTCAGTGCTCAGGTACAGTTCATACCTCAATAATATGAAGCTTTTTTTCACCAAAAGCAGCTGGAATAACTCCCACTTGCCCACTTCCCCTAAGACACTTCAGCTTATTTGGCCAATAGACCATGAAGTTGGGAGGTCAGGTGTAAATATCACATGGTACTTCCCAGAGAGTATCTTTTGCCTTTTGCTTTTTATCTCCTCTAGTACAGAACCGAGGACGATTCCAAAATTCAGGTAGTGTCTTACATTCGGGACCTATTAGTAAAGGAGATGCATGAGACATAGCTAATAAAAAAGCAATCCTTCCATCACTGTAGCTTTCTGTCTGATGAGGGTAAGAGTATTCAGGAGATGTTATTCTCTCTCCTGCTTGGAGGCTATACTGAAGAAGCCCGTTCTCCACATATGCCAATGACATAGATGTGTATTACTTCTCAGGGAAGGTAAAACTTGCCTGCTGCCAGTATTTCCTTCATGGCTTAGGCTTGCGATAGCAGTGAAGTGGAAGATAGGTAGTGTAGTTTTGTGTAACAACTGCGTTTTGACACGCATGATTGCATTTCTGACCAGTTCCAACCTTTACTTTTCATTCCATCCAGAAAGAAGTGAGGCTATTAAGTTCAGAGGCAGAGGAGAACTCTGCCGGGGAAAGTCATGACAGAGAATGTATAAGCATGTTTAGAAAACTGATAGGCTACTGGCAGGGAAGCCCCAGGTAGACAAAAATACCTTCTAGGTGGTCAGGCAGAAGCTGCTGTTCTGAGTCACCCCCCCAATGAATACAACGCCAATCAGCGAGATCTCCAGCACGGTGATCAGGCGGTACCCAGTCAGACCTCCAAAGACTTTTTTTTTCCCCCATTAGTTTAAATAACATTGAGCCAACATTCTTTAATGCTTCTTATGTGTTCACCCTCTCCCTCTTTCCCCTTCTTCCCCTTTTTTTGCCCCGAAATTGCAAAACCTGGCAGCAGGTACAGTCAGCCACTCACTTCCCCGCTCGTTCTGCTCTTCCCTCCTCTTTCACATCATCTGCAAATCATCTGCAAATTGTGCCAGGGAAGGAAACTAGCAACCAGACCAGACTTCAGGCAAGTCAGTCCTTAAGTGTGTCATTCCCTGTCTGTAGAAGGGAGAGGACGGTATTTTTTAACCTCAGATGGGCTGTGAGGATGGCACCAGAGAGGGTGAAGTATGCATGAATTACGGTAAAGCAAATTAAATTCCTCAAAGCAGAGAAGGAAGCTGATGATTCAGGACAAGTATTTCTCTGCATGGCAAACTCCAAACTGTCTGCAGCACAGGGCTGTAGAAACAGCTTTGCTGTTTTACCTAGAGTTTTACCTTCATTTTGGCACCAATAAAGTAACAACCAGCGGCTAACCCAATGCAGTCAGAAAGCACTGGTCTCACTCACGCTGGGGTAAGTTTTGCCAGTGATGCAGTCTTCATGAGTGGACCTGGACAATTTGATCCAAACTTCCCCCTGTGGTAACAGGGATCGCTTCGTCCCTGAAATTGGTTACAAAAGGGGACAGACTGGGCACTTCGGTACTGGCATGAGAGCTGAGCTGAGAGTAACTAGGAAATTCTGGTGCTTTACAGAAGAAGTGCACCTCAGTTTCATTTCTGGCATTTTGGTTTGCCTCCCCCATTGAAATGACTTTTTTTCCCCCCTTCCTTACTTCTTCCCCCATAGCCTCTGGCATTTTAGGGCTTTTATAATCTTTAAATCATTCCACAGAGTTTTATTTCTCTCCTGCACCTGCATCTAGCTCGTCTCTCCCCCTCCACCCCCCCGCCAATGCTACCTCTCTAACTTCTCATACATCATTTCTTTAACTTCAAGTTAAATGGCTCGGGTCAGCTTTCACTCTCCCTCCTTCTATGCCTCCCGCAGCAAAACTTCTGTGGTCAGAGTATTATTCTGAAGCTCAGTCCAAAGTCTTGGAATCAGGTGAAAGCTTCTATTGATTTTGGTGGACTTTGGGACCAAGGTTGTTGGCTAGTATTTTTGAACACCAGAGCTAAACTTTTGATGGAGGTCAACTCCCAGAAGGGTCAGCTGGACACAGTGAGCACTTTCCAGCCTGCCCTTTCTGTTTAGAGCCAGAAGTGAGATTTTAGTTGGTCCCTACTATTGTTAGGCAATGGGACAAAGGTGGAAAGGCTGAAGCATGGTACTCCTGAAGTACTCCTATTTTTGACTGTTTTTTCTGTACCAGTCTTAGCACTTCATGTAATTACATCTTTACAGCTCTCCTAGGTGCTTTTCTAGAGTTAACTCCAGTTCTGTGCAGTAAGAAAAGGGCAAGGACAGAGTAAGAGTTTCTGACCTTCGTCAGCTCTCTGTCCCTACCACTATCTTTGGGGTTAAAATTCAAGCCATGCCAAGTGAAAGGAGGGGTGCGCAAGATCTCACTACTAGCAGTAGTGCATCCAATATATGCTCCCATCAGGCATCTGTAGGACATAGGTAGACAAAAACGTGTGGAAAGGGGAAGAAGTACAGAAAAAGAAGAGCCAGGCAAACTCAAGAATGCCAGGATCAAAAAGACTCTACAAACAAGGCACTGTCCTTCCATATTAGAAGAAGTCTTGAAAATGTGTAAGAAAAATACTATTCCAGGTGGGTTTCCTGCTTTCCCAGCCTCAGGAGTATATGGGATAGGATTTATTTCACAAGTTTCATCCCTCAATTAGATTCTGATGCTGAAATTTAACAAGCTATTTATGTCTATTATCACACGTTTGAGAGACTTCAGTAAAATATACCCAACGTTCAAGGCATGTACTGAACAGAAAATACGCACGCAGTCTCGCAAAAGATTAATGGGCCTCTTGTAGGGACAAGCAGCCGTATACCACAGCACAGTAGAAATGACAAGAAGTCTTATCACATGAATTGATAACTATCAGGTCTTCAAGAGTGTTAAAATCCTTAGCGTATTTCAGAGTAATGAATAAGGTTGCCTTTTGATGTAAGTACTTTTTTGAATGGGGTCCTAGCCACTGCGAAGTTTCATAGCAAGCACTTTAAAGCAATTGCTTAAAGTTCTGGTATACAACCGAGTTTTTGGTTTGGTTCCTTTCTAAGACATTTTACTTGGACTTCCATGGAGATAGAATTGCCTATATAGCTAGAATATGGTTCGAGAATAAAGAAGAGTCAAGATAGCATTCAATTACTCATCTTACAGAACAAAAAGAGAAAGGCAGTCTCCAAACTGAAGAGTCACCACTTTTTCCTCAGCTGTGTTAGTGCTGGGATCTACAGGTCTGGCCAAAACAGCCAGTAATATGTTTTGTATCTGCAGTCATGTCCAGGTTCAGTCACCGCGGTCACCCCCTCTCTTGAATTGCTTCCAGGCAGCAGACTTTCAAAGGGTATTTATATCCCAGCGGGGATTTGCACAAATTCCTCTCTGCCTACTTTCTAAGGGAATTAACAGGATTTAGGTATTTAGTTGCTTAGAAAAAATTTCTTGAGGTGCCTTTCACCATACGTCTAGATAGCTTCCCAGATCTCACCACTCACTTCCTACTAGATAAGCAAATTCATCAGCCTCTAGTAGAAGTACCGCACTGAACAGCGATCACAGAGATGGACGTCTGTCTGGCACCCCTCTTTCACAGTAAGGTGGGGGGACAACTGCAGAGGAGGACAGTGCTGGAGACGGACGGGAATGACACAGCGAGTAGAAAGCAACAGCTCACTCCTGAATCTCACACAGTTACTCGTATTTCCACTCCAGGATGCATTCCAGGCCTTCCATATCAATCCCGCCTTGGTGCAAAAGTTTCTCAAGCCGTTACTTATTGGAGAGCTTGCTCCAGGGGAACCCAGCCAGGACCGAGATAAAAACGTGAGTATTTGTTTCTGAGCTGGGGTTTATGATGGGTATGCTCCACCATTTTTTTTCCTCTCGGCATGTCCTCCAGGTCAGAGGCAGGCAGATTATAAAGGTCTGTTCACTACAGGCAGCTCCAGAGAGGGAGAAAAATGCTCAGCGACTGAACATCTCCATGTAGCAATGTGCACATCCCAGTATAGATTAAAATGTGTGTGGGAGGGAGGCGACACGTCCAGTATAGATTAAAATGTGTGTGGGAGGGTTGCTCAGACTGGCTGTACAAGCCTTTCCTTTCCTGTAGAGCCACCAACCACTGATTTCTAGCAGCCCCTTGTGCCCACACTGGACAGGTCCTATACTGGAGGGAAATGGGAACTGAGGCATGTGGACTGGGAGATGTGCACCAGCTCTCGTGACTGGTGTCCCTTCTGCGATTCCTTCTCTGGTGACCAAGCTCTAAAACACACGTCACCACTTGCCTGTTACAGGGAAAGGAGAGGACTAGGCAAAGAAGTCTGAAAAGACTTCCAAACAAGTTGCTCACCACCTCAACAAGACTTGAATCTCTTTCACTGTTTGCTCTGCAGCTCCCTTTGACAGGTTAACTCCCAGGGAAATACCTCTTTGAGACTCAAACTGGCTAATCCTGCTGAGCCCAGTACCAGCAAAGCTCTGGGGAGCAGCCACATTTGTGCCGTGCATGGCACGAGCGGTAGGCACCTATGGGTGAGGTGAACCAGATGTCTCATTTCGGTGGCTGTTCTTAAGTTGCAGCAACCCAGCAAGTACCTTTTCCACCCACTCGGCATCCTCAGGGCAGCTCTGTATCCCTCCCAGACACTCCGTTCATTCATTATTCAGGCACAGCGCATGGCATGACTAGCTCTTGCCACGAAACTTAATCCTGTCCCGTTGTTTGTGACTGGCCATGATTATGGTGTATCTGTATCACTCACAATAGAAGAGATGATGCTAACCCGCGTTAACCCGGGAACGCTCTTCATGAATGATTGCACGGTAGCTGACCCACATATTAAATAGATGACGGGTGCTCTGATATTGGGTGCTCATCATCAGAGCTCTGGAATTATGCATAAGTAATAGGACTGAATTCAGCTTCTCCAGCTGCCTCTTTAATACTTGTAAAGCTCATTCAGACGAGAGTCATCGGCTGACGGAACTCTCAACAGAGCCAGGTAGTGCCGCTGATTCACAGCAGCAGGCTTGAATTACTCTCCCAGCTCAAGGTGCAAAAGGTCAGGACGTGGGCTCGGACCAGCCGGGATGTTTATTCATAGGAAAGTGCTATGAAAAGCTAGAATACAGTGTGAATATGGAGGCAGGTCCTTCCTTACTTCTGGAGCAGCCAACCAGTGCGAGAAACAGCCAGGGTCCTTAGTACGGAACTTGGCTTTCCTTCCTCAGACACATTCAGACTTACTTATAAGCTGCATACTGTGTCTTGCATGTCTATTTTGCAGTCCCAGCTGGTGCAGGATTTCCGGACCCTGAGGAAGACAGCAGAGGACATGAACTTGTTCAGAGCAAATCCTTTGTTCTTCTCTCTTTACTTGGGCCATATTATTGCAATGGAAGTTTTGGCTTGGTTAATGGTTTCATACTTTGGTACTGGCTGGATCACAACTTTCATCCTCGCCTGCATCCTTACAACTTCCCAGGTGAGAAGTAGTAGGCGCAGAGCGTACTGGCTATGCAAATCACTCAGGAGAAGGCCAGCGTGTGCTGAAATTTTCATATTAGATTAATTACCAGTGCAAAACATTCAGACCAGTGAAAAATATTCACAACACACCTGCCACTGTGGTGCCTTCTGGCCACCCCTACCCACTGCCGATTGTGGTTCACACATTTTTCTCACCTCTTTGGCCTTTCCTTCCACATGTTGGTGGACTTGGTGGTGTTGGGTTTATGGTTGGACTCGATGATCTTAAGGGTCTTTTCCAACCTGAATGATTCTATGATTCTATGTTCCCCTCCACAACGAAAAGAGAGATCTTCACCTTCTCACTCCAATTAATTCCCCCTCTTGCTCACACTCACGACTTGCCTTCTATCTCCATTTCCTTTTGTGCTTAACTTTGATTTCAAACAGCTTTCTAACTACTTTATTTCCCTTCATCCCAGGCCCAGGCAGGTTGGCTGCAACATGATTTTGGACACCTCTCTGTCTTTAAGAAGTCCTCCTGGAACCACATCGTCCACAAGTTTGTCATTGGACACCTGAAGGTAAAGGACATTATGGACCCAGGGCACTGTGGAAACAGCTGAAGTCACTTTGACTATGTACATCAAAGTAGGAAACTGCAGCTCTAAGCCTTTCCACAGTGAGCAGATGCACAGAGATGTTCGTGACCATTGCACATGGAGCTGTTGTGCAGAAGAGATAAGAGAGCGTAACCATAGCTGTTAGAGAACACCGTAGTTCCGCAGGCTTCAGTGCAACTGCACCAATTTATAGCAGCTGAGGACAAAGCTTATTAAATTGCATAAACCCCTATTTTAACATCATTATTTTTGCCGTGCCCTCCACCTCCTTCACACTAAGGTATAGTATTTTTCAAATGTCCCATCCTGCTACATCCCATCCATTCAAGACGCCTTCAGAACTTCTATCCTGGGCAAAGTCCAGTGCAGGCCAGGCATTTCAGCATCGACCCGCAGCAGGAACGTATAAGGGGTGGGACATAGCTTTGCCCATTCTCCCAAACCCACTTCGCCCTGTCTGGTTCCTCACAGGCACAGGCAATAGAGGGAAACCAGTATAATCAGTAAGGCAGCAAGGGGGTTTAGTGGTGGACTTGGTAGTGTTAGGTTAATGGTTGGACTCGATGATCTCAAGGGTCTTTTCCAACCTAAATGATGCTATGATTCTATGATTCAGCTACTAATAACAACTTCACATGTGGGAAGACATGATGACATGCAACTCGCTCAAGGTATATTTATTCCCTGTACTTTCAATATGGATGATCCTTAGCGAGGGCAAACCAGCCCTCTGAAACCAGCAGTCTCATCACAACTGACAGCTTAGCCACTTACTGCTTACTGCTATTTCAAAAGCAAGTAACAGTTTGGCCATAATCAGAGTTGCACTGTTCTAGTTTATATAAATGAATCCTACCGTTAGAGGAACTGTACTTTTCCATGGATTGACTCCTTATTCTTGTATCTGCCCAGGGTGCCTCTGCCAACTGGTGGAACCATCGTCACTTCCAACACCACGCCAAGCCCAACATATTCAAGAAGGACCCAGATGTGAACATGCTGCATATTTTTGTCCTCGGAGATACACAGCCTGTTGAGGTATGCCAAAGTGGGTAAAACGTGGAAAACCATTGTCCTAAGGGCTTCAGAGAATGCTTGTGCAAAACCAAGAGTTGGCTAGTATTGGTAGACATGACTTACACAGTCAAGACTTCTGGGAATGCTAAAAAAGGAAATGCTTCATCCAGGGATTTCATCTGTCTATGTTGTCTGACAGGAGTTTGGCCATCGCACCCTCCCAAACCTTGGGCTGAAGAGCAAGACTGACTGTATAATTCCCTATCCACTTACTATATTGACCACAGGAAAAAGTGTTTTGGGGTAGCTTGGGAAAAGCAATCAAGGTAGGACTGGAAAGAAAGTAGAAAGTCATTAAAGAAAACTTCATCCTGCTGGCTTGAAATATCAACATGAGGGGGAAATATGGTGTTCCTCCGTACTTCATCAAGAACGTTTCAAAACTGATCTTCCATTTCCACAGAAAATATCTTCCAATATTAGTCCAGCTGTGCTCCAGGCAACCTATACAAGGTCCTCTCCACTGGAGCCTTTCCCGTGCAGTTGAGGGGATATTGCTTGCATAAGCAGTACTTTCTTACGTTAACTATGTACTGTTACGCTGCACATGAAATAACAGGCTATGTTAAGGTATTTTAATTCAATCTGTCCTTCTAGAGCCAAAATATTTACTGTCTATTGTATAAAAACCTACACAAAGGACGTAAACCACGTACCATCCTTGGTAGTTTTTACAATGGAACGAGGATTTCTAGTTTTAAAAACAAAAAACAAACCAAAGAAAACAAAAAACCAACCAACCAAACATCTGCAGCAAGTACAACACAGGGGAATACAACATTAAAAAGTTAATGGTTTCTCAGCCAGCTTTTGTACTGCTGAGAAAGTAACTCCAGACACATGTAGGGGACATACATGCTGGTATATGGACAGGTATAGAGAATGTCTTGCACGCACAGAATTTTCAAGAGGCAGAAGGGCTTTTATATATGACTAAAAAGAAAGCTGCCTCCTGGGGTATAAAAAAGCTAGTATCTAGAAGATGTAAATCAGTATCACGCTCTTAAATGTGTGGGTACCACCCATTGGAAAATCTTGTGTCTGATAACTGGGTTTAAAAGCAGACCGTGGCTCTACCACCTAAAGGGAAAAGTAAGAATGTAAACATTTATGACAACAAGGAAAACTGGATCTCCGTCCTACAAAATATCTGAAATGTTAGGCCGGCATCAGTCTATCCCAATACTTGTATATAATCCTTTTCCAGATGATGCTAAGCACACAGCCTTTCAGAGCTCAGACCAGAGTGAATGATGTGGCTGATTTATTGGTGCTACAAGACTTACCTTCATTGGGAAGTTGCTATGCCGGAAGCAAAAATGCAAATTCACAGCAATCCAGATTCTCCATGCATTAGCTCCCTGTGTGAACACTCCTGGAGCTCAAAAAAGACACTTCTGTATAGCTCTAGATATTTCACTAAGGAGATGAGGTGAGGAGACCAGGTGCTCTTTGCTCCCTCTTTTCACTGAAAAGAAACAGGCACCTGCAAAAATGCAACAATCCAAGGTCCGAACCTGTGTTTGGAGAAACTTCTTTGCATCTGCTCTCTGTAGGTGGACGATAGTAATAGAGGAATCGGTGCAGAACAGCTCTCAATGACAGCACTCTTATTTCCTATCACTTACATGTCAAACTAGTGACACGACATTATAGATTTAAGCATGTCTGTTTGACTTGCCGTAGTAACAGCTAAGGACCACTCCAGTTTTCCATCTGTTGGTAAAGTAAGCTTTTACAAGACCTGGCTAATGGCAGGAGTTCGTAGGGGCTGATGGCTGCAGAAGTCAAAAAGGATCAAAGGTTGGGACATTTTGCATTGAAGACTACCCAAGGATCATTGTCTTGCACTGGCAGCCTGTGTAGCAACTTACCAAAGGTCAGACTTTATGCCTATCGCATTTGTATTGGTAGTGAAGGAGATGATAGCAGCTCTTAGCACAGGCACAGGCATGGCAGAAGGCGAAGAAATGCATTAAAATGCCATCAGGCCCTCAAGTAAAGAGACATTATCTGAATATCAAGCCAGAAGACTTTAAAAAGGAATTTACACCTAGTACAATTACAAAGTCAAGATATTTAACCATACCAAAACACTTTTTACCTTTAGGGGTGTGGGAATTTAGTCAAAACTCCCCATTCAATAAAGAAGTATTGCAGAGAATCTTCTCTTACATGTGAGTGTCATAATCCAAGCCTGAGCTTTCTCCTCTGTGTCCTGCAGTATGGCAAGAAGAAGCTGAAGTACCTGCCTTACAATCACCAGCACGAGTACTTCTTCCTCAGTGAGTATCTGCCCTACACTCTTCCTCTTTCCCTGAATGCCAGTTGACCTTTCCAGCCCCTACTGTGTTAGCAGAGCAACTCCTTAAGTCTCAACTCATCCTTCCCTTCCTCAGGACCACCATCCCCCGTGCAGGTCCCCAGATCAGTTCAGTATATTCTCAACGATATCCAAGCATCTTGAACGTTGCCAGCACGGTCGTGTAAAGCAAGGCAAACAGCTGAGACTGGGAAATAACCTCTGTGTGAGAGGCTCCATGGAAAAAATGCATGTTGCCAGTCAATGCTCTTCGTCAAGATGAATAGGTGTGAAGCAGAGCCGCCTTTCTTCACAGAAAGGCAACCACCCCCCGTCACCAGCACCTCGCCTCTCTCACCAGTGCTAGGCAGACTTTACCTAGAAACAGTCCTAAATCACTGGCTCACTCTCATGTCACGCGCCTTTCCACCCCTCTAATGGCCAAAACATTTCCCTTTGCTTTGCAGTCTTCCCGCCTCTGCTCATCCCTGTGTATTTCCAAATCCAAATCATCTCGACCATGATCAGGCGCAGGTTCTGGGCGGTGAGTGAAACGTTCCCTCAATCTTTATGGGGGCCGGCTGGCTCGTAAGAAATCACACTTGAGTAGGGAGGGAGGCCAGTGGGCAGGGATCGCACTTTGCTGTATTAATTACCCAGCGTCCCTAACATCACCAGCAACGACACGTTATATGAGATATAGGCAAAGTGATGCCTAATGTCTTCTCTCTTCCCCTAGGACCTAGCCTGGGCCATCAGCTACTACATGCGCTACTTCATCACATACATCCCATTCTATGGCGTTCTGGGATCCCTGTCTCTCCTCACTTTTGTCAGGTAGGGGATAAAGGGTCTCCCTGCTGCTCTCCCCTCCCTCCAGTGCCAGATGAACCAAGTCTCAGCTCTGCTGTGCCCCACAGGCCTTCCCTATTTAGGTTCTCTGTGGTCACTGACCTCACTGTGTGTTATCTTGGGTATTCCCACTGCTTCACTTACCTCTTATCGTCTCCCAGTTCTACCTCCCATCAGCAGAGATGGTTCTGGTGCTCAGCATCTTCCCCTGCCCTTGTAATGGTCCTGCCAGGATTCTCCTTTCTTTCCTCGTTCCCTGTTCTCACACGCTGCCCGATCCCAACACATTTATGCATTTTTTCCACTTTGGTCAAGGCTGGACCCTTCCGGCGTGCCTCAGGCCACCCTCTTCCCAGCTTACCGGGAAGGTAATTCATGAGCCCTCCTGAGCACCGTACGTGCTTCCCCTGTAAGCTCACCACTTCTCCCAGTGTGGAAGATGCATGGCCTGTACGCTGCATGCACACGTCATTCCTTCTACACAGAGGTTTGGACCTCAGAAAGCTGTCTCACACCACAAATCGAAGTGTTCCTACCCTCCAGTCTGACCCCTCCAAAGCCACCTCCTTCAGTCTAGGGAGAAGTGCTTCTTGTGCCTCTTGATTTTGACTGGTCTTCTGGCCCCGTATCGTTACCAGGCTTCATGATTTGCTGCTCTTAGTACAGAAACAGTATTAATCAGCCAGCTGCTGTTTGACTGATGCACGGAGACTTCAGTGAGAGACCTAAAAACATGAACTACAAGCATGAGCTGCCAAAATGAATCGGGCATGGCAGGGCTTGGGATGCTTACACACTGAATGGTTACAGTATTCCAGATGGCGGCACTGACTTCACGCTTTCTATCAGGAATTTCTATTCACGATAGAAATTCGTGAATTTCTATCCTGTATGCAATAGCTGCAACTCTTCTGGCTAATACCAAAGGGTGGCATTTAGTCCCACAGTCAGCATTAGTTTTAGGAAAACACTTCATCACAGTGAAAAACATTTTCTAAAAAAACCCTCATTTTTTGAGTAAAAAGAAATGGCGACAGATGTACAAAAACCTTCGTGACTTAAGTTGTCATAGTTTCAAAACACTTTGGACCTAAGGAAAACAGGAGATTCAAAAGGACATCCATTTGTGTAAGTGCCTAGCCAACCTTTTCGGTCTGAAATCAGGCTGAAAAACTTATGACAACTGACCTATTCTTTCCAAAACTTTCGTATTTTGATTAAGCTAAAAGTGGAAGAAGAAAGGCAAAATTGCAAATTGAGATCATCTGCTCTTTCAGAAAACAAGCCTAAAGACTAGAACAAGGATGCTTCTGGACAACTCCCTTGTCAACATACATCTAAGTCTCAGCATAGAGAAACTACTTTGGGTAAATAAAGAGAAGAAAGGGCATTTCTGTAGACTACTGTACAGGTGCTAAAAATGCAGTTATATACTATAAGCGATAAACAAGCTGCTCTAAAGCAATACCCAGCCCAGTGCAGAGTTGAGACTTACGGTGAAGGTACTGAGAGAGCAAAGGGAAGCTGGAAGCTCCAGTGTGCTAAGCTTGACACCCAGAAAGCTAACACCAATGGGCAGGTGGATTTTGCAATCAATGTATATCCAGCAAGCAATGGGAAAGATGAAAACAGTTCTGAGAATTTCTAAATAGGGGCTTGGTTTTTTTTCGGGGAGTTGGGTCATCTTTATTTACCGAAAGGCGAAAGTAGCACGGGAGATCAATCCACTTCTGAGGAAGAGGGAGAGGGATAGCCCAGTAGGATGTCCTCCTTGTCTTTAATCATAATTGCTTTAGTCCCAGAGGTATAAAGAGGGGAAGGGAAATTCATCACAGAAGTGATTCTCTCTGGTTTCCATAGAAAGAGAGGTGTTTACTTCCATACCTGGGAGAAATACTCTCTTTGCACGTTGCGTCTCCTGCTGCTCCCGGTAAACCCCCACTCTATTTACCTCATATCCTGGCCTGCAGTATAAATTGTCATATTTTTTGCCTGTTTGTTTTTGAAGGTTTCTGGAGAGTCACTGGTTTGTGTGGGTCACCCAGATGAATCACATTCCAATGGAAATTGATTGTGAGAAGCACAGAGACTGGCTTAGCTCTCAGGTAACCGGGAGGGGAAAGAATACTCCTGAGACACCCCAAAACAGATTAGAAATTTACTCAAAGAGCGGATGGGTTACCACAATCCCCAGGTACTAGTACACGGTCTCTGTCCATGATCCCTCCTATAAAGATGATCTCCCCAGAGCCAGTAGTGCTGAGTCAAGACATGGAAGTCCAAGCTTCTGTAATGAATTTGACAATCAAAAGTTTATATTTTGTTCTTTCAGATTTGAGGCAGTATCGGGTTCAAGAAGCATGATTTGGCTTTCCTGTGTGGTGTATTTTGGCATAAACATATGAGCAAACAGAAGAGCCCCAAAGAAAATCAAAGCTGAAGAAAGAGCTCAATATATTTTTAAAGTTTATATTTCAGCAATAAGGACTGAAATGAAAACCAGCTGCTTTCTAAATCTTTTTAATGCCTGGTCAGACAAACGCACCCTGCTGAAAGGATACCTCTATTTAATAAGGACCACCTTATTTACAGTGGTCCAAGTCCTATTCAGACCTAGAGGACAATGAGAGCAACTTTGACGCTGGCTATATGAATTTGGAATAACTGAGTTGAGAGAAGAAATCAGCTCATGTGTTAATTAGTATAATTAGCATCTGTAGTTGTTAACGGGGCCTTGAAGTGAGCTTTCAAAGGCTGACAGTCAATTTCTCTCCCTTGTGCTAAAACCACTAAAGCACTAAAAAAGAAAGTGCTAAAAGCACTATTCAGGAAAGCACCTAAGCATTTGGTTTAAATTAAGCATGTGACTAGATTCACTGAAGTCGAAGGTGTGTTCAGATGTTCACCTTAAGCTTTTGTTTAAGCACTTTATGCAACTGCAATTTGTAGACACAGAGAGAGAGAGGTTGCAAGGGTGAGAGATTTGGGGAGGGGGATTATGAGGGCGGGGGGGGGGGGGGGAGAGAAAATGTGCGTACGATAGAGGGAGATAAGCCCCTTTGACACCGATGTGGTTTTATGATGCATCTTGGGGAGGTGAGGAGACCATATCTCCTATGGTTACTATGTAGAAATCACAGCTTAGCCAGTTCAGAGTGTAAGAGGATTTTAGGAAAGACTACCCAATTTTACAATCATTAATAGCAACAGTAGCTAAGAAATACTTCCAGAATATTCAGATCTTGCACTTAAGGCAATCGGGGCAATAACTAGATGGGATGGGGAAAGCAGCTTCCTGTGTCCATGCATTTTTCCTCCCCCCTTTTCCACTTGGTACTGTTGTTAACCGTCCGATCTTCAACGGGAAAGGCTGAGATTTAGGAGTCTGTACTTGGACTGCTATGTGACACGTCACCAAGCGTCCACAAACTGCCTCCTGATATTGTCCCCTTTACCACCGGTCAAACCCGTGGAGACACGGTCAGCACAACAGTTGTCAGTAAGCCCCGAAGGAGGATTAAAGCTCCCCTTGCCGCAACCAGCTATCTCAGCACGGCAGTCTTCCGCACTCCGACAGCTCAGCCGTGCAGTAAGACACACGTCAGCCCCTGCCACAGGCAAGAGGAGCTTCGTTCTGATTTTAGGGCGAGACTTCACTAATCTTCACAGCTGCTTTCTTGCCTTCACAGGTGGCAGCCACTTGCAATATCGAGCAGTCCTTTTTCAACGACTGGTTCACTGGGCACCTGAATTTTCAAATCGAGCACCAGTGAGTATGGGCACAGAATCATTTGGCCGTTACCGGGTTGTCACAACACTGGACTTGAGGCGAGGGAAAAGTCTGCTAAAGGCGCACGTGTGGGATGGGGCAGGATCTTTGGAGCACTACCACATGCCAAGGAAAGAGAGTCCCAGACTACTGGGGGTCATAGGCTGCTTCTACTACAGGCATGGCATCTTTCTCTCTTGCTACCAAATACTTCAGCTTTCACTTTCACAATATTAATTTGGGGTTTAATTAGGAGTCAGTGGTATGAATCTACCAGGTACAATGGCTATGGACTCATATCCTAAGCTAAGAACTTGAACTTGAGTATCCACTTCAGAAATTTCCTCTCCCTGACTAAAAGCACTGCAGTGTTTTATAGCATGGGACAGCTGTGTGGGACTGTGTATGCTGCTGGGTACCAGGTTCCAGGGAAGACATTAAAAACAGGGCCATATGGACAATCTGTTGCCAGTGGCAACACACAATATTTAAAAGAGACGGCATTTAGGGTAAGGCTGACTGGTTTGGAAGTCAGCTTGGGAAACCGCCATCGAACAGCACAGGGCAAGGTGATCCCAAGTTCTTCTTTACCTGCTTCTCTGTTCCATGAGCTTCCAGAGGCGGGAAATCAATGCATTCAGTTTTCACAAGCCTCCTTGAAACAGAGGGCTGTAAAGCATGGCTACCTCTCTGTGCCTCTCTTTCTTTTGTCTGCTTGTACAGCTTGAGGAGAAGGCATTAATAATTAGCCCCACAGAGGAGGCAGAGATGCCCATCCCTTGGGGTTAGTCTCTATAGAGTTTTCTCAGGTTTGTTTTCTCTTTCTCTGTTCAAGCCTGTTTCCAACAATGCCACGGCACAACTTCTGGAAGGTGAAGCCTTTGGTGAAGTCATTATGTGCCAAGTATGGAGTCCAATATGAAGAGAAGCCTCTTGGAAAAGCATTCGTAGACATTGTTGGGTAAGGTCCTTTTAATACCATCTGCAGCCTGCAATTCGTTCTTACATGATCATCCTATCTTTTCTAGTACAGAGAATTCGGGACACTACAGATCCTTCAGAAAGACCATGTCGACATTTTGTAATCTGGTGTCACTTGGTTAATAATCTTCATACTGCAGCCCAAGGAACACCTGCAGAAATGTTGATCCACAGCAGGAATGACACAGCTCCGCTGATTTAGTGGACTAACGCCAGGTGACAACAGATGGGAAGCTGCTTCACTGCGTCGTGGGGGAAGCAATAACTGTCCCCCAGAGCAGCTTCTGCAACCAGAGCACTGCTATCAAAGTACCAAATACTTAGCATTTAGACGGGTAACCTGATCTAATAGGGACCTTTTTTATAATACCTTTTTAAACGCTATTCTGACAGCTGATGATTCTTGCTTTCGGGAGCTGGCAGCATATCGTCAGGCTGCAAAGTGAGATGAATCAAAGGGGAATGAGTCGGGTTACAGCCCATGCTGTTTCCCATTTGAGCCCTGCCAGCAGCAAAGGGCTGTTCCCTATAGACACAGTTGAAGCCTAGGCTAATAGTCTTTGTCAGGCAGACTCTGGGTTAACGTTTCTGTCTCAGTTACTCCAAGGGGAATAATTCATGACGGGGAACATGAGAAAGTATTCCGCAGGCCAGGGATCTCCACTCTCAAACGATTCTAAGCAAATGCAAATTAAAGCAGATTGGCCCCATCATGCAGAAGGGCTGAAAACTGTTTCAAAACCTCCTTCGGTCCTCAGCACGGGCAGCAGAGCGCGGAGGAGGGGGGAGGGGGGGGGGGGGGGGGGGGGGGGGGGGGTGATGCCCAGCATCCCACCATACAGAGCCCACGTCCCTGCGCGAGTTCTCAGAAACCATCTCAGCAATTACTTGTCCTCCCAATATAAGGATCATCTCCCGTAAGCCATATAAAGCTACATTCCCAGCCTCCAGACTGCATTCTGTTTGTTTGTCAGAGGACTTTTGGGCCCAAACCAGCTCAGATCTGTCACATAAGATTTGCGGAGCTGAGGCAAATGGGAAATTCTGCAGGAGAATTCCTGGGGGCAAGTGGGGAAACTCCTTCAGAGATGCAATGTGGTGAGCCCAGGCAATTCTGCTCTGTTGTTTATTCAGGGGCAAGTGGGGAAACTCCTTCAGAGATGCAACGCGGTGAGCCCAGGCAATTCTGCTCTGCTGTTTATTCAGGGCCAGAGGGACTACAGATAACACAGTGGGCATCAGGTGAAGCTCTTGCTCGCTGAGTCTCAAACTGGTCACTTTGGGGCTCTAAAGAACAAAATAGGTAGCTCTTCTTGTTGTATCTGCTATACTGGGGAAAGACATTCAGTGTCCTAAGAATTCATATTCAAATTCAGTAACATGCTTCTTTGTAGGAAAAAAACCGACAGAGGGAAGATTCACATGCCAAACAAACTTATCTTCATTTTCTTTCCACAGGTCCCTAAAGAAATCTGGAGATCTATGGCTGGATGCTTACCTCCATAAGTGAAGATGAATCTTAATGGGGAGGTGTGAGTGACAGGGAGGGATGGGGGGGTGCGCGGGGGGGAAATCACACGTGTGTCTTTTACTCTCAGATTTCAGTCTATATCTACGTGCACAGTTGGAGGGGATTTTCCTGTCTTGTGAACTGCTACTGGTACGGGCTCAGGCAACCTGTTTAATCCAGACATTTAAAATGTGCTTCAGAGGATGAAAAGCGATGCCAGTATTGCACAAAACGGAGAGTTGGGAGAGGAGGGAGAGAAGGAATGTTTAAAAAAGGGGCATTAATATCCGACCTTGACCTTCTCTTCACAAGATTCATTCCAGTTCTACCTAAACCACACAAGTCCCCGATTCACAGATGCATAAGACTTGTTAGGCTTTCGTGAGTATTTACAATCCAAGGACACCCCAGTCATCTTACGCCTCTTTCCTCTTTCCCATGTTTGTGTAAAAGAGCTCAGCACAGAGTTTCATTTTGCTACCAAGGAAAAAAATAACGCGGTCCGTGATGCCCATTGCAACAAGGAGCTCAGGTGGGCTGCGATGCCCGTCAGCTCTGCCTGCAGGAATCGCACCCCACGGGGACCCGCAGCTGCTGTACCGCGACGGGGCTTTCAGCCCTGCCCGGAGCCCCGCTGCCTTGGGCTCCCTCCTTCCTCTCCCTCCTTCCTTTCTCTAATCAGAGCATCACTTTAGTAAAAGGTGTGATACTGACCCTGCACAACTAATGTCTAACCACCTCTCAGCAGGGTTAATATAGCTGTATTTTTATGACCAGCCCCTATTTCCAGGGGTCCGTGGAAGATCTTCGGGCTTAAACAGCAAAACGTCTCCTTTAGGAGAGGGTCTATTTTCTCTTTAATGAGCAACAGGTCTGCCATAGCATTATGGTTGTCAGTAAATTACACAAAAGACCAAAATAAGTTACAGAGGCAAAACTTACTAATTGCTCGTGAGTGCTCCAGTGTAACCACAAATGGTCTTCTCAGCAGAGCAGTTAGGCAGCGTGCTGCAAAAACACACGCTTCTGCCTGTCTGCACATGCCTGGCAGAAACCAAGCCTCTTTCTGCTTGTCAGAGGCCAGGAGCAATGGCACTGTCTACCCTTCTCTTGGGAACAATCAGCGAAGAAAATGAGTTCTCCCTGCAAAAGGAGGAGCTGCCCAATCATTTCACTTGGCCCCCCGGCCCTTCGGGGAGGCGGCTGAAAACAGAACTGACCAGGACATGCTGGTGATATGAAACCTTCTGGAGAACCCTCTTACAAGTTGTCCAAAACTCTATTTTCTGCCCAACACCTAATTACCAAAATCCATTAACGGCTTATCAGGAGATATGGTTGAACAGCTTCAAGGTGCTTCTGTAACAGGCAACCTGATCCCGACTAAATCAAGGGCTTTAGATTTGATTGTAATACAACCGAAGAGACATACCCTTCAGTTTATGATAAAGGGCCATGGTTCCAAAAGCAGCCTCCAGTTCCAACAGCTATCTCGTTGCTCGCTCAAAACACCCAATACTAGTTATACTCTAGTTATTAGGCAATGACTTTGCACGCCCCATTACTTTGCTCAGCTCTGAAACTGGATCCTCTCTACGAAATCCCAACAGAGTCCCACAAAATCAGCAAGGTTCTTTGTGCACAGAGGCAACTCCAGGACTGTGGCCAGCCACTTCAAAAAAGAAATGTATTCCACCACCCCCCCCGCCCACTTTGGAGAATAAGATGAGAATGTTTCTTTGCTTACAGGCGGGAAATTCGTAGGCAGGACTGCAACTTAAGCTAGCGAGTAATACTTAAGGTTTGTAAAGGGCCTGTTCTGGTGTTCTTGCCCACCCCTAAGCTGGCAATACCTGAATATCACTATGAATGGTTAGGATGAAAAGCTACTGTCTCCGGGGTGTCTGAAACTCGAACAGACTTTGAGCAAATTTTATAGTTGATTTCTAATAGCATAAACAATAACGTCCTTCTGGATGCTGTAATTTCCCAGACAGGTAGTAACGAGCTAGCCTGGAATTGCGGCTAACGTTGTTACGACTGCCTTAATATGTGCATCTCTTTCTGACTCCTTGAATGTATCTCACCGTCTCTGCTCCAGCAAGGATGACCACAAGCACACAGTAGCATCAGCATTGCAATCTTTTAAATATTCAGCTTATTTTTCTGACAGTTCATATTTTTTTTACCCCTCCAGTTCTTATTTCCAGAGCAAATATTTTCTCAATGCACACGCCTCCTCCTCCTTAGCGCTGTCCCCTCTTCTCTCTCTTACCTTTCTTCTTGGGAAACTGCTTTTTAACACCTAGAGAAAATGCAGAAAACTGGTAGCTCAGCCTAAGTAAATAGTCCTGCTTTAGCAGCTTGCCTTTCCTGCTTGCCACTGACCAGTCTACTGCAAGGCCTGTTTTTCTGCTAAAAACCCAAAGTACTGCCAACACAACGGCCTGGCCTAACAGGAGACAGCAGCTACTGCTGATGATGGCTGAAAGAACTTGAAACGTTCGAGGAGAGCAACCGTGCTGCAACGATCTGCAGAAGGAAAGACCAGCTCTTAGGCAAATGGGCAATTTTTTTTCCCAAGACCTTAGCAGAAGATACCAAAGGGAAGAAAGGGGGGACAGGAGAGATCTCGATATTAACTTTTCCCCAGCTACTTGCTTCTTTCAGACTCTCGAAAAATTCCCTTTTCATGAAAAATGTTCAGTTGCCCAAATCCAGAAACAAAAACCGTGCAATGTTATAGTCAGAAGTGATTTCCAAGGGTCACGCATTGTCCTTGCTATTGCAAGATAAAAAGGTCTGTTCTGCAAAGAATAGGTCACCAACCCTTTGTAATTAGCAGTGTATTTTTCTTTTTCGTTGTGCTTATATGTGCAAATAGTTTGTCTGGTGAAAATGTAAGATGCTGGTTACTTTTTCAGGCAAAGCCTCTCCGGCTCATATAGTTTCTTCCCCTCCCTCCAAAAAATCCCAGCCCTCTATCTTGGAATTCAAGCTGTTTCGCACGTGCCTTGATGTATAAGTTCTCCATCCTTTAACTGGAGCAGGTCAAACAGATCCCTGACAAAGAGCCCTGGAAGTCTGGAGCAGCCTGCTTTGTTATAATTTTAAGTAGCACCAAAGTGAAATTAGGTTTACAGGAGATGTTCCAGAAGTTTCAGTAAAACTGCAAACTTACGTGGATATGGAGTTCACATGACCTTGCTTGGCTTTGTCTCCAACGTGGGCAAAATGCAGCAATCACTCACAGATGAGCGTCCCTTTGCAGGTTACAATTAGCCGGCAAAATAGTTCCAACACAGAAATTGAAGTACAGGTTTGCCCAGCTTTCTGAGGACCGTGACTAACTAGTTCCTCTGAAAATAATGAGGTGAAATCTTGTACGCTTTCTCTCTTGATAAAGGTCATTCAGTTGCGCTGTAACGAGACACAAACACACAAAAAAATACTCTGTAAAACATGCTGGGAGCCTGCCAGGGTTTATTTAACCCAGCTAAACCACATCATTGGCCACATGAGCCCTTGGCAACGGAGAGAGGCCACAAGTTGGAAACAGAGAGTTCGTTTCAGGGCAGATAATAAAACAATAGGCAGGAAATGACTGGCTTTGCTTCTCTTCAGTCCCTTGTTAGCAGGGACTGGAGTAGAAGCTGGAGGACCAGGATGGTCAAAGACAGTTGGCAGAGAAAGGCATTAACTGAAGCAAGTGCAGCGAAGGCAAGAGAAGCCTCCGCGCGGGAGAGAGATGGGCATGTGTTTTGGGAGGAGAAGTACAGAGATGGGAGAAATGTGGGAAGGGAACCGGCTGGGGAGGGATGCATGACAGAGTGGGAGAAAAAATACCGAGGGGGTGGAGAGAGAAGAAAAAGCAACTGGAAATCAGGTGCCCCATGTTCTCCCATTCACCGCTAGTATCTGCCCGGACAACAGCTTGTGCTGGAGACACGAGGCCAGAAAGGGCAGAGCACAGGCTCGAAGGCGACGGCAGAGGCTGGCAACATCACTAGGCATCTAGTAGCGAGCTGGATCTTGCATTGAGCTCACCCTCCCCCAGTTCTGAGAGCAGGGACGGTACAGGGGTAGCACACACAGTGCCCTTCAATACTGCATTTCAGTCCCCTGCAAAGCACGTGCTTCTCCTGCACTCTGGCTAAAGTAGGTTAAAGCTGTAGCCTAGACCTTCAGCAACAAAAATTAACTCCACTGAAGGCCGTGGGTCTGCGCCAGCTTTGTGAACTAACATGAAATCTAGCCCCGTGTTTCCAGGCAGAGGCACAATGGAAATTAGGGGATTTGCACTGAGATTTTTCCTTTAAGCATGGATTTGAGGAGTCTAAGATCCCAACTGCTTACTGAAATAGGGCTTGGGAGGCTCAGAGCACCAGCAGAGCCTCATCAGGACTTATCTCCAGGTACCATCGCTCCTTGCTACAGGGGCTGATCATGCTGGCTGGATTTTAGGTCTTCATTAGGGCAAAGACATCCTTTTCTTAACAAGCTGAGCTGCCGTTTCTTTCTGTAACGAGCATCTTCCAGTAGATGCTTTCCTAAGAAAGCCTTCCTAAGAGAGCCCTAACATTTCAAATGTTTTCTAGGAGTTGTTAAAACATCAAAACCACATTCCTTATAGGACAGCTCTCGGTTGCTGGCTGGATTTTAGGTCTTCATTAGGGCAAAGACATCCTTTTCTTCCTGTAACAAGCTGCCGTTTCTTTCTGTAACGAGCATCTTCCAGTAGATGCTTTCCTAAGAAAGCCTTCCTAAGAGAGCCCTAACATTTCAAATGTTTTCTAGGAGTTGTTAAAACATCAAAACCACATTCCTTATAGGACAGCTCTCGGTTATTTCATTCTTTAAAAAAAAAAAAAATTTCAGTAACTCAAGAACAACAATTTTTTTCTTGTGTATTCTACTGCTCAATAAAATCATACCTATTTGTTGACCATAAAAATGCTTTATGTGTTTTTTCCAGTCACATCCAGAGTCACTGCAGTGCTCAAGGAATCTTTCCTCTCGGAGCACCTCCTGAAATACAAACCCACTAGCTTGTAGCATGGAGAAGCCAACTAAGCCAGCTAGGACATTTTAGGGCGTGAATGTCGCCATCCAGGTCTGGCTCTGAGATCAAGAACATACGTTCAAACTCAGAATTCTTAAAGGGTCAGGGTAGGGTTTGGCATAAAGGGTGATTCAAGCCTGAATTTCAGCTTTAGTCTTGTAATTGCTGTTCTTACCAGTTCAAAATCAGATCCCAGACCAAGAACTGTAAGAACACTGTGGAAGCAAGCTCTAGAAAAGGACTTGGGATCAGACTTGCTGATTATGGCCTCCCTTGTTTTTCCTAACTATGTTTTTTGCATAGAGGAGCTGTTAGCTAGGGATTGTGGAAAGTCCTTTTTCCACTTCACAGGGTGAAATTACTGAAACTACTTTTATAGCATTGACTTTTATAGCATTGACTTCTATAGCATGGAAGGATTTCTTTATCAGCCTTCCCACAGCCCAGGAACAATGGCACTGCTTACCTTCATCTTGGGAACAAGCACCAAAGGAAAGGAGATCTTCCTGTAAAAAGGCTCGCCCGGCCATTCAAACTCAGTCTCCAGGCCATTCAGGGAGGCAGCTGAGAACAAAACTGACGTGAAAACTTCCATAGAAGCTTCTAACAACTGGTCTAAAACTCATTTTTCTGCCATTCATGGCTCATCCAGAGGTATGGTAAAGCAGCTTGCAGCAGCTTTTCTAACCGACAACTTGATCCAATGCTTCAGCGGGCTTTAGGTCAGCCCAGAGGCTTTAACAGAACCGTGAGACTGTTAGTTCTTGCAGATAAACCCATTTGAGCCGTATCACCAGGTAGAGGAGCACACGACAATGGGCAGCGGCCGTGAGTAGGAAATGCATAGGCCGTCCTAGGTCAGGCGACAAAACGATAGCTGGGGAAGGCCAGTCTATGGTTATCTGTAACCTTAGATCGATACTACAGTTTTCCAGAGTACACATTAATTGCTTCATAGGTAAACTCATTCTGCACAGAAAGCCCTCTATGAGAAGTCATAGAACTCAAAACAGAAAGTGAGCCTCCCTTGCCCCATTATTAGGACTTTTATGCAATCCTAGAATAAACACATTCCCCTAATACAAACAGAGGAAGTTCTTACACAAAAATAAGCTGTTCCAAATTGATACATCACCTGGCTTTCGTCCCTGGGAGTACAACTGTTCCCAGAACCTCTGAGCATCCCAACGCAACATAGCTTGAGCCTCTGAGCATCCCAACGCGACATGGCTTGAAGGGGAGCAAGGACCTGATAGTTCCGAGTTCACATTCTGGATTAAGATGCCTACACTCCAGCCACACCTCACAGACATGCTAAAACGCTCTCTGCTTTTACACAGGGCTTGTACCTCTGCTGGGAATCCACAGGCATTAGTTGAAAGGTGGCAAGCTAGCCAGTTTTCCAAGTTTTATTTTCCACAAGCTTAGGCTCAGCTTATCCAAAGTTCAGCTCATCCTTCAGCTGGGAGCTTGGGAAACATACTGCCCCGGCGAACCCAGTAGGACAAGTGGCTGGGTTGTCTTTTTTTTTTTTTTTT